AGATAAAGATCCACCGGATAATTTTGATTTACAAACACCATTAAAGTCTGGTTTTTCAAATTTATCACAACAATTAAAAATGAGAGAAGAATCTGATGAATTCGGACGATATGCTCAAGCTGTGATGACGGATTTTATGAATAAGAATTTAGACTTTGCTTTAGGTACAAATGAAACTTTAGCGTTACAAGCGTGTTATGCTGCTGCTGATGTTGTTAATGCACCAGAAGGTGGATTAAATATTGAGCTTACAAGAAAAAAACCGTTTTGAAAAAAAAAAATATTATTTATTGTTTTTTTTTTAATTTAATCTTTTTCGTTCCTTTTTTCAAAATTTCAATGTTTCTTTTTATCCACAAAATATCCTTCTTTTTAGTTTAATATTTTTATTTCTATTTAAAATTTTTCCAATAATTGATTCATTAGCATGTGTAGCTTTACCATAAATTAATTAAAGATTCAAAATCGATCGATTACAATTAGGTTTATGCAAAACCCATGAGAGTGAACAGTCATTAAAAGTTGACAAGCCATGTTCTATAAAATATCAGTACGACAAGATGAATAAATCTGTTGCTACATAGAAAATTTGATTATTATGTTTTAATTTTCAACGATTAAAACGATTAAATTCAGAAATTCCTAATACAAAACTACATCTACTAAATCAGCGAAATGCTATTACTTTAGATATAGAATTGACGAAAAAATTTTGATAAAAGATAAGGTTAACATTGTTGTTTATATTTTTAACTTAGTTTTCAAGCAGATTCGTTGTCGAAAATAGTCCTATTCTTCAAAATAATAGATGTAGTAGAATTCTTACGGGTTTTGTTTTTCTAGATTTTCAACCATTACAAAATTGATCTACTTTTATAATGTGCACATTTATCGATGCGTTTTATTTTTTTAAATTTTTTGATTTCTGAACGAAACAAAACAATTTTATATAAAAACTCTTGGGCGTTTTCTATTCTATTTTGTTTCATCAACAAAATGATCTTTCTTTATTTTAATATAATCTAATGAAAACTCTTTAGAATCTGTAGATTATTCGAATATACAAAAGTATAAAAAACACAAGAGAAATTTTTCATATTTATAACATAGAAGAATATTTTTGTCTAAAGTTCTGTTCATAATTTAAAAACGAGTGTATTCTCACTAAGAATAGATACATTACAGAAATGAAATTATTAAACAGAATATCATACATCATATGTTTAGTTTTACCAGAAGATTCAGATATGATTGAATATACGTATGATTTTATTTCATCATTTATATACATGTATATATATATCTTTCTTCACTAACATATAGACTTTTTCTTTTTAACAATAAAATTTTAAAAAAAAACGACAATATTTTTTATTCTTGAGAACAAAAATATGAAAGCATTGATCGTATAAAATTGCAGTTTACACTTATAACCTTCAAGAGAATATACTAGACTGTTCCAATCCTGATTATGAATGAATTAAAGTAGTTTATTTAGTTTATTGCTTCAAAATTATCAAGCTATCATATTTGTATTGCATTTGTTATGAATGACAAGTCATTTAAACAGCTATTATCGTCGTGTTTGCGTACTTTAAACACACCTATAAATGTAAAATAGCAAATAAATTATGTTAAATTTTGACTGAAGATAAAATTCGGGAACAAAATTATTTAACTTAATTATCAAAATAAAATATTTTGTAGTCATAAATAATGATTGTATTCTTAAATATATTAATGAAAAATGTATTCTGATTATTGACTAGTTTACGAAAAGTGCTGTAAATTCTCGAATGAGATTTTCAATTGCTTCTTCAATTTTCTACACCATAAAATGAATTTCTAATTTTATTTTATTTTTTCTTGAGAAAATCATGCTGATAGTGAGTAATAGCATCTTTTAGTAGTGAAGATCTTGTTGATCGACTGAGAATATTCTATATCACGTAAGTTTTAGATAGGTTTAATATTTAGAAAACAAAAAAGATACAATATACAACTAGAAAATTATGAGAATTGAATTATTTTATTTTTAATTGAATAAATCACGAAAAGTAAATATCTGAAATTTATTCGAAATGAATAGCTAGAAAACGACACTTAAATTTTGTGCCTTTACTATTTTATAAATCATCGATTGGTTATATATCAGCATTGAAAATTTGAATAATATCCTGAAAATCAATGTTTTTCATTGATATTAGTTTTATTTATTCTTTCTGATAGACAATTGGGCAAAATCTCTTCATACTTTGTCGTTCAATACGGTTATCGAAAATGAAACATTTTATAAAAAGAGAGATATGAGAAATCAGTCATGTTTGTTTTTAGTTTTTGCTTTTTTTTGAAACGAACGAAAATTTCTATTTGATTGTAACTTTTTGAACAAGAATTTTAGATGATACGTTTCTATTTTTTTCGTTCTTTCTTATAAAAAATTGGATTAGAATGCTGTCTTCATTGTGTTGACATTGTCTCAAAAGAAAGAAAGAAAGAAAGAAATAAGAAGAATATGAAATGTTCACTTTACTTGTATTCTTAGTTTTGACAATATTATCATGGGAAACAACTGAAACCATTCGACTTGAATCCAAATATTTTAAAGAACAATCTTTATCCTATTCAAAAATTCAAATTGTTGAACGTCGTGGTGTTGAAAGACAACTTCATGAAACTATTGGATATATTCAAATGAACGATACAGAACAAATGATTGAAATTGAATCGATTATAAATATCGAAAAATGAATTAGTTCTATTCGAATATTTCCATTTAATCGATACAAGTATAAAGAATTATCAGAAACAGCCCAACGAAAATTTGATAATCAATCAATAATTCGTCCAGCTGAATTATCATCATTAAATGGACGTATTTTAATACCATCACCAAATGAGCCAAGCTTTCCTCAAAATAATGTTGAAATAGGAACAACTTGGATAATACCAATTTTAAATTTATTAGGAGAAATTCAACATAAAATTATTCCTATTGATGAAAATCAAATAGTTTCTATTCAATTTTAAGGTGATCTTGTTGTATTGTCAGATGCAGTTTGAACTGGAAAATGGACTTTCGATATTTCAAGAGGTATTATTCCATCATTCATAGTTAAAAAACAATAATTTTTTGTCTCTTGATCAATAGAAAATAAAAACAACTTCTTAAACAGAAAAAATAGCAATCAGATATTCGTCATTTTGAAATTTCAATGAGATTCTACTAGATTGTCTATCGATGTATCTGTATGATTCGATTGATTTTAAACTAGTAGAAGAACAAATACTTTTCTTCAGTGTAACCAAAAACTATTTTCTAAAAACATATATTGTAAAAAGATTGTTGATGAACGTAAAAGAGAATTTAATTAACCAAGAGTCTATCGTCTCTCTTTTTAGTCATTCAATAATGTAAATTTTAATAGAAGAAAAATTTTTATCTTTAAATATTTGAGAATGAAGAAATGAAAATAATATTCAAACGTAAGATTAATATTAAATAAACCGTTTATAGATGTATATACCAAAAATACAAAAGCCAAATGCAAGAGAAAACATGAACAAAAAAATCAATAACCATAAACCATTTATTGTATTGGCTGTTTCATGACAAATTAATTTGTCTATTTTTAATATATTATCGATTGGTAATGGACACGGATTCATCGTTGATTCGATTATTTTTTCGAAAAATAATTCAAACTAAAGAAGAAAAAGCAACTCTGTCATGAGTAAAAATTAACATGAATCTTTAACTCACTTCATTTAACGTTTGAGTGAGGAATTGAATTGGTAATCGAGAATTGAATTGAATAATTTGTTTAAATATTCTTTCTATTTGATTAAAATCATTGTGAATGAGAATAAGACGATTTTGAATATGTTTTAAACGGAGAAAACTAGCTAAATTATTTAATAAATCAATTTCTGATGATATATTTATCATTTTAATTGATATTAAAAATTCTTTATAAATATTTCCATTTAAATATTTCATTATTGGAATTAATTCATTATTTAATTCATTTGAATACTCTTTTAGAAATTTTTTACTGAAATGTTTATTTTTATTACAATCATTAATTATATTATTAATTGTTGTATTCATATCAAAATTTTCTATTGATTTAATCAAATTATCTATAAAAAAATAAAAATAAAAATCAATTAATTAATTTATTCATTCAAATTCTTCTTTTTGATACTAACCTGTTATCAATGAAATAAGATATTGTTCATCGTGATGAACTAATCGACATGAGTTTTCTATAAGTAAATCGAGACCATAGAGAAGACCACTTATTATACATAGAATAATTAATAAAACTATTAGAAAACCAAATGAAATACGTATTGAACCAAGAAATAATCGATAGGAACGATCATTCTTTGATTTATTTTGATTAGTAACATTAACAGGATATGAAAAGGTTCTTTCCCCATTTGCACTGATATGATAGGTTCTTATTTTTCTTGATTTATGTTTTTTTCTTGATACATTACGAATATTACTAAAACAAAGCAAAACAAAAAATAATACATTATACAAAATACTATTGATATTTTCTCTCATTTCTTCAAGATAGATAAAAATCATTTGTCTATGATTGAGTATATCTTTCTTAATGATCACCGTCGTATCTATTAATTTTAATAAAAATTTTATAACAAAATAATAGAACAAAAACAAAAGTCTAAGTTTATTCTTATAGATTTCTTTTATCTTAAATGATAAATGGAAAATCAAGCTGATTTTTTTGTCAATCTCTATTAAAAAGAATGGATGTTTTTTTCCAGAAGAAACGTAAATCATTACTATAAATTGATTGTAATTAATATCATCGGAAAAGTTTAGTGACAAAAAAAGAAATCCATCTAATTATTTTTGATTTGTTTTTGAGTGGTTTAATTTAAAGAGAAGTCTGATAATTTATTGCCCTATGGAATTTCAATAACGAAAAAAAAAACGAAGTTCTTTGATTAAATCTTATTCACCTGAAACTATTTGTCGTATAACAACTTTGAGAATCATTACTATGTGTATGTAATGATATTAATTGTTTAACATCGAGATCATCTAATTTACTTGAACTTTCACTGTTTGTTTTTTGATTTTTAAATCTAGCAAAATAAGAAAAAGAAATTTAATTAAAAATTTAAAGAGAAAAAGTCGAATTAATTAACTGTTTGGTTTGATTATTTGAATGAAGACAAAAATCATTAATAATAATAATAATTAAGAAAGCAAATGGAACAATTGTTATTATTAAAATGATACTAAAAAATAAAGTTGCTATTAATGATATAAATGATTGAATCTTTTCTTGTTGATTTTGATTAAATAATTTTGATTTAAAAAATTTATTTAAAATTTTTTCATTTATAATTTGAATAAAAAATTGAAATTTTTCGTTAATTAAATTAAATAAATAGAAAATTTTCTTTTCAATTTCAATATTATTTTGATTAATATAGTAACAAAGTTTTTTATTTAAATTATTAATATCTTTCATAATATATTCATATGACTTTGTTATTTTATTAAATAAAACTTTTATATTTTGATCATTATCAATAAAAGAATTTATTTCATTAAAATATTTATTTACGCTCACTATATGAAGATTAATTTCTTCGATATAATAATAATCATTTAATAAATTATTTAACGATTTAATCATTAACGATTTTGATCCATCAATTATTATTGAACTTGCTACAAAATAGAAAAATAAATAAAAATTCTTATTTTAAATTACTGAAAAATCGATAAAATTTTACATTTTTTTGAATAATTATTAAATTGTTCTAATAAATATTTAAAATGTTGTGAAATAATATTTGAATTAAATTCTTCATTAATTAATTTGATTGATTTTTCTAAAGAAATTTTTGCTTTATTTCCATGTTCGATAAGAAATATCATTTGAATAAATATAAAGAAATAAATAATAAATAATAATAAAACAAGAAGAGTTTTTAAATTAAATTTAAAATATTTTTGTTTTTTTGATTTATCTTGTTTTATATTTGTATATGAAATAATATAAAAAATAATTGAAAGCATGATTAGCATCAAAAGAATTCCAATTGAATAAATAATTATTGATGAAATGAATTTATTTGATAATTTAAATGAATTTATTGTGAAATTTTTTAATAATAATTCAAAATCATTTGAAGAAAATAGCAAACCTCTTATAAATGATGAAAATTTTGAAATAAAACCATTTTCATCTTGTTTATAAATTGAATGAATGAAATTTTTTGAATTATTACCAATCAATGGTACTAATTCAAAATCGGAATATTCACTTAAACAGTTTATATTTAATGACATCGATTTTTGTTTTTATCTAAAAACAATACCAAATTATTATTTTATTTATTAAAAAATAAATTATTAAATCTTTAAAGTTGAATATTTCATTCGATTTAGAACAATGGTATTATTCATAGATAAAATAAAAAGTTATACGAACCTTTTTTTTGTTACACATTCAATATTCGCGAGTAATCGATAAAAACAATTGAATAATCAATAAAGAAAAAGAAAACAAGCTTGACTATTTAGACAGACGAAATCGTATCGACACGTCATTGATAGACGAACTTAACGATATGTAATCGAACGAATAAGTTCAGATTAATCTTTTGTAAATATCAAAAACTGATTTTATTCGAAAACAAAATAAGATAAAATATCATTTGTGAATATGTCTTCTGATCTGATCATTCTTTATAAAGTTCAAAATGATTCACATCAATTTTTTCCTTTTATTTTGTTTTCTTCTCTATTATATAATTGTTCATGACAGATAGGAAGTGTTGTTGTTTTCATTTCATGTTAACTGTTTATCTGAATGAAATATATAAAAACAAAAACACAACAGAACGTAATTGTGAACGTGACGGCAAACGGAAATATAAAACGTGTTGAGTGATTTATTCAGATTTAAATAAATAGAAACGAGTCAATCAACAGATATTTTTATATGAAAAATATTTCAAAATCAATATGAATCAATGCCTCAAGCAGCACATTTCATTGATCGACTGTCGCCTATTCTGTTTTCTATTTACTTTTAACTTACAAAACATAAAATTTTACGGTTAATATAGAAAGTAAATCTTTCATGATTAGTGATTGATCTCTCTTTGGATGTATATGGATGATTAGTTCTCGTTTTTTTCTCTTTCAATTCATTCAATCTATTGTTTTCGTTTTTGTTTTGTTCTTCTTTTTTTTTGAAAAGATCATTGATGATGGTGTGCAAACAATAGGTAAATTAAACTTGTGTATGTCGAAAGCTCATTAAATGTGGATGGTTGAGCGTTAACCGTATTGATCAAAGAATTGTCTATAAGATTAGCCACTTGAGAATAGGTCGCCAACCAACAATGTTTGTTCATTTTAACATGAGAAATGATCGAATGCACCTTATGGTACCACACCCCTTTCTCACATTTCTATTTTTAGTTTTATTTTCATTTTATTCATTCAATTTCTAATCAAAATATTTCACAGTTAAAACTACCTGCAGATTTAAATTGGACATTTTACGTAACTGATAGCACTGATATGTCATTATCAACAGAAATTCTCTCTTTTATAATTAGTCATATCATTTTCAATCGAGAATAAATCATTTGCTTAACGAAACTGTTTTCCTCAGATTGTTCAATTTCTATATAATCATACTCGCTGTTCGTTTCTTAGTAAGAATTTGAAATAGTTTACTGATGCTCAATGAAGAAATATTCCTTTTATATTTTATATCGAGTTTTTATATAATTAAATTTCTTTTTCTACAAGAATTAATTCTTTGAAAAATTGCTGATCATCATTATTGTCAGGATTAAATAAAAAACTAATCCAACTGAACTAATGTGAATTGATATTTTGATTTGATAATTTTTTCCTTTGACAATTCTCAAGAATACTTTGAATATCCTAACAATAGTATTTTAGTTTTACAAAATTGAAACTTTTTCTATTAGGTTAAATCATTTGAAAATTGAACCGTTGAGATAATTGTATAGGAAATGATAAAAAAATGTTATTCTCAAATAAAATCTAAATCTGTGATGAGCACGAGAATGCAATTATCTTGATTTACCATTTTGACAAAAGTTAATGTGAGAATTAAAATGATTATTGTGACACATGAGAATGTCATCTCTAACTTAGATAAGAATATTTCATTTCGATTTAATTCATTTCATATCATTTCAATTGGTCTTCATTTTACCATTTTTCTCTCCAATTAAAATATTTTCCGAACGAACGGAAAAAAGAGAAAAGAAAATAGCGAGAGAGAGAAAACGAACGAAATAGAAATGCTCAGTTCTTTTCTTTTTCTTTTTATTTTAAAGATAAAACCTATGCACACGATTAATAAGATGTGGATGGATTTACCAAATGATCGTGCAAGTACACCAATTAAAAACTATTCGTCGTTCAATGGACCTCGAACATCAACACCAAAAATGACGACAATATCAAAAAGTTTAAATCATCGATCACGAAAAAAGAAAAAAGAAATTCAGAATAATGATTATCGACTTCTTTTTTATGGCCAACAAAAAAAATCTATTCAAAAAAAGAAACATTCAGTTATTCAAATTTGGTTTTTGTAATTAATTTTCTTTTCTTTCGTTTTAATCGTTAAATAAAAATAAAAAAAACGTTGTCATAATTCAAGCATGAATAAACGTGTCTCTAGTGACTACTTTAGTTGGCGTCAAAACATATCCCGCCCAGAAAATCTCTTGTTGTCTATCTCTTATGATCTAATCAATGATTATAAATATTGACATACTGGTGATCGACTAAAACAATTATCCACTTGAATATTCAATCAATCGATTTTATTTTTAATATTTTTTTCCAACACGAATAAGAAAACATATAAAGGAGAATTTTCAACTAAATAAAAAGAAAACAGATTTCATCATTCAATTTCTATTGAACAATCATTTATACGAATATGTTCGTATCAATGATAGAAACAATTTTAGATTTTAGATCTCAGTAAATTTGTTCAGATAAGCAAGATTTTTATATACAATGAATAAAAATAATTGATCAATGATAGAAATTCAGACAAATTCAAGAAAAATTGAGAAATGCTCAGTGAAATCAATAATTCAACTAATGATCAATGGAAAGAAATTCTAACGTATTGCAATGAATTAAAATATTATTGTATTTACTCGACTTTTTTTTTATCAAAAAACATGATTTAGTGAAAATTTGTTTCAAATTCGATGAAACTCTCGAAAAGAATTTCTCATGAAGAAATTCGTACATTTATCTAATTGTTCAATTATCCAATGGTGAAAAATGTATTCGTCACAATATAATATCAATTGATAATAAAGTAGTTTGATTGTGGTTAATTGTAATAATAAATTAAAATAAAATGGAAAAAGCGTGAAACGGAAATGAACAAACATTGATTAAGGTCGCGTGTCCGATTACTTGTTTGGATGTGTATCAAGACAACAATATAGTATGACACCGATCAATCAATATTGTCACCATCTTTTTCTTATGATGGTGTCACACTTTATGAGGATGTCGGCATCTTTATATACAATGAAAACTAACGAACATTAAACACAAACACACACTATTAACAGATAAACAACTACCGTTAATCGACCTTGTCCTTTCTTCTCCATTCTTTTATAAATTCTGATATTTTAATCAGTAAATCATGAGAAAATGTCTTCTTTAATTAATTTTTCAATAAATATAGATTGAGATTTGATATGATAATTAGACAAATTTATATTTTTATTTTATTTATGCAGAAACAACTGTGATCCTAAGATCCTATCAGAATTAGACAAATTTATATTCATTTCATTTTATAACATAAAATATCGCTTCGATTTTTGTTTAGTTAACATGAACATAAAAACAAGATGATTTGTGAACATATGTTGATTGTTCATCGATCGAATCACATATGACACCAATTTCTCACCTTCTCTAAGACTATCATTAAAACAAAAAGAAAATCTTAACAACTTTTATCCACGCGATCAAATTTTCAGTCGTAAGTGATGAGTGTAACAAGCAAAAAAGATCAATTTTTCATTTTTAGTTTTGAATTCAAATAAAAATAAAGTAAAAAGTTTAAATGATTAATATCGGCTAGATTGAATTTGAATTAGTTTAAAATATTTCAGTAAATTAAAGAGATATATTCAATGACAAACAAAATAGTATATTAACTTTTTAACCTTTGATCAAAAGGTGCACAGTGTTTGCAGCAATCTCATGGAATACCACACAAACAACAACCATCAGAGTCAACTCGACAACAAATCTAGATGAAACAAAATAAAAAATATTTTTTTTCTTCTAACCGATAAACACATAGCTTATTTTTTTAACAGAAATAATTTAATAATGCAAGTAATAATACGTTAAGAAATATGTGATGTTTCTTTTTTTATATAGTTCGAATAATAAATCAATGTTCGTTATTATGCATCGTAGGACATCTACGTCTTTTGATTTCTATCTATTTTTTGCTTTTGCTTTTTCATTTTCAATAAATAATATAAAGAAAATGATCCATTTCATTCCAGATTATTGTAAAAAAATAGATTCATTTAATCATGACAAGTATTGTTTTCACAATGAATTGTTCTACTCAATTTAAGATAGGATTCTTCGTAAATAATTTTGTCATTTCTATGAAATGACGATTAGTATTCGTCATAGACTGATGATAAACTAACAAACGAACATTATCGACATTAGTTTTAGATTTTCGATCAACCTATAAAATCAATATTTTTCATTTAGAATACTTCATATTGTTCGAATAAAAAATTTTAGATATTTAAAAAAGATTCATTTCTATTTTCACAAAACAAAAAGTGATATCTTATAAGTGTTCTGTTCGTTATACATAGCATTTATGTGCATAATGGTTTATTTTCCTTTTTTTTGTTGTCTAATGAAATTTGAGGATTCCCTTATGCAACTGTTTATTCGTATTCTCGTCATTGAAAACTTGTTTTTATAATATTGTTTGTCTTAATTATTAGAAATGAATTTTTCTCGATGTGAAAAATTTATTTCTGTTATTCACATAACCTTTTACCAATAAAATTTCACTATTGTGTTTTTTATTTCTTGTTAAAATTTGATTTTATCTCTGATAATTTATATCTTTCGACGAATTTCTAAATTAATCAATTAAAGACTATAGAATAATAATATATATTCTACAAGAATTTTTCAGGAATAAGCTTAAATGAAACGTTTATTTAACAAACAAAAAAAAAGCTTTTCCTGTTTATATACAGAATGAAAATCATGAAACAAGACTATTTGGCGGTAATGAATGCTTAAAAGATGATTTTCGTGGAGATTTTTCTGTGGAAATCATATCTGCATTTGTTATTGTTGTCGTTGCTGTTATTGGTTCTATTGAAGATGATGATTGCGATGATTCTATTGTTGTTGTTGTTGTTGTTGTTATTGTTCTTATGGGCGAAAGAGATAATCGTATTGATGGTATCAATAAAAAAGTTGAGACAGTTGCAAATGATGTTAATGGCGATGATAAACTAAATGTTTCTTGTTGAGGAGAAAATAATGAATTTGTCAATTGATCAAATATTGTTTCGTCATTTGATGAACGAACATTTGGATGATCTGCTGATGAATTATGACGAAATATGATTGATGAAAATCGAACAGATGACTCATCAATAATTTCATTCAATGATGAAGATATTATTAGTGTTGTAGGATAATAAGATTCTAAATTTTATTTTAGAAAAAAGTTTTGTTTTTATCAATAAAATAACATAAGAAAAGTCAATCTTACTGAGTCTTTGATTTAATGGAGATGATGAAGCGGTATCTCCTGTTAAATGATTAGATGTATATGAATTTATTGGTTTTGATGAAAGAGCTTTTGAACGTTTTAATTCAAATTCATTAATAAATTTGATAATATTTTCAATAACTTTAATTTCTTCTTCTCTAACACGAATTTCCGCTTGTTTACGTATTCGATATTCACTTAATTTTTCACGAATACTTGCTCGATATGTTTCATTTTCAAGATGAGATAAAAATGATTAATTAGTTTAAAGTATTTTATTAATTAGATGGTTAAAAAATAGAAATCAAATAACATACAGTTATTTGAGTATCGGATGAAGAACTTTGATTTTGTGGACTTGATCTTAACGTTGAACTTGTTTTTAGAGAAGATTGAACTAAATTGGCCATAAATTCAATTCATTTCTTATTTAATTGTTATATATCTATTTTAATGTATATTTAAGTAGGAAAACTTTCTTAAATCAATAAGAATCATATCTTTCCTTTTCAACAGCATAAGATAAATTGATTTTTCACTTTCAACTTGATTTTGTTCAACAAAATCTACTATAGTGTGTCAAAGCTCTACTAGATTTGATTTCTTATTTGTCTATAGGAATAAATCAACAGAAAAGAAATGATTTGCAAGAAATTATTCTGATTAATATCAATTAGATTTTATACTGAAATTCAAATTCAATTTCAAAAATAGATATTGATAGATGTTTTGCATCTTTGTATAATGCTTTTAATGTTAGTTCAAGATCAATCACTTAACTACAAAATTTCATGTTTTACTTCGTTTGATTGCTAATAAATAAGTCATTTTTTTTGTTTTAATCAAAGTAAAGTTATAGTTTTCAAAATTTTGAATTTTATTTTTTTCTATGTATCAATTCAAGTCTAATGATTATTGCTCGTTGAAATTCATGTGAATTAAATCGTTTTTGTCTGTAATTATGCTACTTACATCCAAACAAAAACAAAATTTTGAGCGAGACATTTCCAGAAGTTTTGAGAAGGCTTCGAAAGCGAAAACAAAAATCGATTTTCTTAAATAAATTTTAATTGTTTTTGAGAAATGTCTAATCATGTAGTAGAATGTTATTTATTAACATAAATTTATTGATATAAAACACTGATTCATTTTGATCGTCTTAACTAATTTGAAGATTTCAATAAAATCTTTGTTTATTTTTGCATATTCTTTAAAAATATGTAAAGATTTAAAATAAAAATAGTATTCACTCGAAGAAAAAGCCGCTTGAGAAGATATTAATAGGTGTGATAACTTCTTTTGCAACAATAGTCGCTTGAACTAATTCCAAATAAAATTAATAAAAAAAAGATAACAATTTTAAAAGTTTATTTTCTCTCAATCTTAAAAAAAATGAAAACCTGCTTATGTAAAGAATTTGTGGTGCACAAATAACCTTCAGGTTTTCTAGTCCAAGAGTTAATTTGAACTTGCGCATGTGTTTCAAGAAATACCCATTGTTGACCTTTAGTTAAAAATCTGTATGGATCACGTTTACCATTTCCAACTTCTTTCCCTAAAATTATTTTATTTAAAAATTTAATAAAATGATAATGAAAATAAAAACAAACATATTTGCTGTGCTCGAACAATAATTGGCAAATCATCTGGATGAACAAAATCAGAGTGTACATGACCAATGAGTTCATAAGAATTATAACCAAGAAATTCTCGAGCTCTAAAAAAATATTATTTCGAAAAATATAATAATAATAAAGAAAATAAGATTAATTTTGAATCAATGTGAATAAATCTTTCATGAAGATTTATATGAAGTGTAAATTGATTGATTAAATTTTTATTATTAACAATAATGGTTCAATCTAATGTATTTACTTTAACAAGTGACATGAAATATTTTTCATCATTTTCTTGTTTTTCTTTATTAACTAAAATAAAAATACCTATAAAAAATGATTTAATTATTTAAATATTTAATAGACTTTGTCGAAATGCTCCAATTATTGTACATTGTTCATATTGATTAGTTGTTGCTCGTCTCCAAGATACATCACATTTTTCTAAAACTAAAGTAATGAAAAACAACAAAATTTGATTTTTTAAATAATTTGGTTTTTATTTTATGTTTTGTTGAACCTTTGTGATCTTTTAAAAAGTAATCACGCTGTTGATCATGCTCTTGCGACAAAAGTAATTCGAATACAGAATGATGCATAAGTTTCTTCTAAAATATGTTTTTCTTTTTCGAAAAGAAAACGAAACTTTTTCTTGAAATAAATATTTTTACTTGTGAATAATACAGTAATGAACTTATATGATTTGATACATAAACTGTTTGAGCGTTATCTGGATCAGATTTAGTGACAAGCAAAAAGCAATTCATTGACTAAATTGATAAAAGAAAATAAATTTATGATTCTATTTTCATAACGACAAAACGAAGAATTCTATTTTTTATTTTTACTTCGATAGCTGTTTGAATCCACTCTTCACTCATAACAATATTTGATGGTGGTTTCCAAGAAAACTTCACCATATCAGCTATGTCATCAGTTGTTGTTCGTGAACGTGATGAAGAAATATTTATTTCAATGATTAATTCTAATTAAACTCAATACCAATAATACTTATTAGATTTTTAACTTACACTATTTTAAATAATCATTATACACGATTGCATAGTGCATTGCATCATGTAATTAGAATAGTGAGAAATCATTTGTATTAAAGTTCATTTAATACTCGAAAAGTTTACTATTCTTGACTGTTTTCTGCCTACAATGATTTAGTTTTATCTCATATGGAAAATTTTCTATATTTGATGATAAAAACGAAACAATCTTTTTTTATTTGAGATAAACTAATTAAAACTATTTTAGGTTTAATAAAATTCTTTGACAAGCCTTCAAGAAATAACATAAATCTATTTTCGAATGATCTGATAACTTGATTGTTATTTTTAAAAAAGTCATAAAATATAGTTCATTAGTAAGGTTCTATCATTAAATCAAACACCAAAGCATTATAGTATGTGAAGTATCAATCAAAAATGTTTTCAGCCTTTCCTAAGTTTAACGATTCTCCAAAGACAAATGTTCTGCGACAAAATCTCTTTCGATTTGAAATTATGTTCGTTGTATAAATAACGATTTCAGCAAAATACAAGAATATTACCATCATGATGTTTTCTGAAATAACAAGCGGTTTCACGTAAAATAGAAGCTTTATCTAATTTATTTGTTTGTGGCGATGTTTTAGTTGTTTGATCATCTTGCAAAGATATTTTATCAATACTAAGAATTTCTTCTAAATTGCCAATTAATTGACTAAATAGATCACGACGACGCTTTTCATTTTCATTTCGATATTATCGGCAAAATAATTCTAAATAATATGAAAGTAAAATACAAAATTTATCTTGTTTTTACCTTTTTGATGGCGAATGTTGTTTGAATCTTCACTAAAAAAGAATAATACAAAACATGTTCAGTTTTATTTTCAATATGAACAAACTTTGAATGTGTTCGTTTCAATTTAGTATTTGTTGTATTCATATTTAATCATTGATAAATATTTTTAATATCATTATCAAATAAAACTATCAATAAAGATCTATGACATGAAACGAAGAATACTTTATGACGATTCATATTAACTAGATAAAGAACGTGAGACTAGTAGATATTTGCCGAACGAACAAAGCACCAATAAAAAATACGAAAAGCTCAAGTCATATGAAAAATAAACGAACAAACAAGAATATACAAAATGATCACAAGCATAGATAGAATGAATCATTTTTCAGTTTTTTTAATTTCATTTTAATCTTGAATTTAGATGAATGTTTTATTAGTTTTTATTTCTTATTTGAGATAAAATTCGGTTAAATATTAAAAAGAAACAAATATCAAAACATAACTAATTCATTCATTTCAGAATCATCTATTTCTATAGAAATTTTAAATCTTTCATTGGGAATTATTAAACAAAATTTAACATACAAAAGAAAATGATTCAGATACAATGAAACAAAACATTTGACAGGAAAAAATAGGTTCGTTGATTAAAATTTGTCTGACGCAAATATTTCAAATTGATCTATTAAAAAAAGAATGGTTTCTACAAATGAACTTCAGTGACATGAAAATTATTTTCGTCCATTTGAATTGTTTATTCAAATTGATAACTCATCGTAGTCTCAAAGTAATTAACGTGAAATTAAATTTTTTACTGAATATAAACTATTAATATTGAATGTTCATAAATCAGATTTTGCTAAATTTTCTAATAATTTTATTTAGAAAATTTCAACTAATTCAATTAAAGGATTCGTTTTGGAAATAGAAGAAATTAATTAATATTTTCTATAATAAAATTTCCTTTTCTTAATCGAATTTATTTTCAGTTTTCTTTTTCTTCAACTAGAACAACTTAGTGTTAGCAAACTTCAACTGCACCCAATTTATGATGAAAATTTTTAAATAATATTTTCAATACCAAATCTCTGTAATATGCTGCGGTGCTTTTTTATTCCTTTTCGAAGTGGAAAAAACCAGAAATAAAAAAAATGATTGCTTCGTTTCTATCTAAGCTTTTATAAAAAATATACAATTGTCTTATATGTTTCTGTAGATCATGCAGATTTTCGATTGATTTTATTTTGTTTTATGATTGTGAAAATTTCAAAATATAAATTCATCTTAGATGAAAGTCGTTTTAGTTTAAATCGTTTTTACTGATTCTTAAAGATAAAATAAAATAAAATATTTGAACTAAAATATATTGAATAGATTTTTTCATTATATTATCTATTTAATTGGAATAGATTTAAAATAATGTACTGAAACTGATTACGTATATATTTGACTTAGCTTTAATATATCCCTTTCGATTTCTGTTTCCTAGCAATGAACAGATTTTCCATTTTATTTCTATTCTATTGATGAAAATTATCTTGATTTGAATACTGTGAATGGCATGTAATAAATTTGAATTATTATAAAAAGTTAATCATAAAAGAGAATAAACTGGATTTGTATCAAAATAAAATATTTTTTAATTAAATTATAAGATTTTCAATCTTCAAATCAATTAATTCGAATAGAAAATACAATAGGAAATAACGTTTTCATTCAAGTTGATATTAGCCGAAGAAATCATTTTTCTTTCATATTTTTTTATTCAAATCTAATTTGTACTACGATCAGATTTTATTTAAAAATAAGGTTTAAAAAACAATCGAATCATCTTATTTTATAGTATTAAATTTTAAAGAATTTTTGAATTTAATTTTTTCTAATTATGTTCGTTTAAGAATAATAATTATGAAGTTCAAGAAAACATTTCAGACATTATATCATATTTGAATTATTATCGATCATTGAATTTGATTAAAATATTTTCTATGATATTTTATTTTATTATTATTTAATAATTTATTTAACTAATGAAATATTTCAAAGAAAAAACGCTAAGAATAAAAATTATTTTATTAAATGAAATATTTTTGTAGAAAATAAAAAAAGAATCAATCTGATTAAAGGTTTTACTGATTATTATTTGTTTTAATCGATTTATTTTAGTTTGAGAAAAAAATCTTGAAATAAGACTGACCAAATCATCTGTTCATAAGCATTGACTCCTGTTTGCTTACCATCATGATAAAGTAGCAATTGATTCATAGAAAAACCTTAGGCAATGCTCTTATAAAATCGTATCCATTTATGAATATGCGTCAAAGAATTGGAATATTTGTTTCTGAAACAAGTTCTAATTAATGAAATAAAATATCATAAACAATAAAAACAAACGGAACCTAATAATTTTATCTCATCAATTAAAAGAAAACAAAAAGCTACCAATAAACAAGATACTATTAACATAAAAATCTTTCGTGTTTTTTTGTAAAAATTGTCTCTTGAATAGTAATTAAAACCAGAACGAATTAAAAAGTAAATAAACAAATAAATAAATTCAATTTAATGATGGTTTAGCCTCATCGTCCCATTGCAATTCAATAGTTGGCCATTTTGTTCTTAATACACCTGTTATTGGTAAATAACTTCCTAACAAAAAACAAATAATGGTACAAAAAAACAAAAGAATTTATATAAAATGAAACCTGGTTGAACGGGTGCAACAGCAGAGATAGGCGTATCGTTTCCATAGCCATAGTCGGAAATATTAGCTTGAGCAGAAGCATAAAGAACTTTTTTATCTTTATTTGATCTTGGAAGACCATTATAATGATAAATAATAAATGGTTTTCCATTCAATGGTCCTATTTGAGTACTATTGGAAAGTTTATATTGATCTTGTGGAAATAATTCTTTAAGAAATGATGACTCAGTTATTATTTGTAAATTATCCGGATCCATTCGTAGCTTTAATTGATTTATTGTTTGATTTATTTTAATTATTGATGATTCGATTATTTCAGTAATTACTTGTTCAAGAAGTGAATTTGATATAAAACCATTTCTTTCCGTATCATATTTATGAAATACTAAATAAAATTTATTTAGAAAAGAAAAATTTTCATCAATATTTTGAAAATTGTTTAGATTTTAGTTCATTCAAAACAGTTAATTTCAATCCTTTTTATTTGTAAAATTATTTCCTGTTCATTTTAATAATCAAAGCTAACAATAAAATTTCAATACTAATATGTTCTTAGTTGATTGTATTCATCCAACGATTATTTTTCTCTTGTGAATAAATATAACAAGTAAAAAATAAAATCTTCTATGAAAAGTAATTGAAAAACAAATTTTATCCAAATGAATAAAATTAGTAAGAAGAAAATTTTTCTATAATTTTAAACACTGTGAAACATAACAAATAAATTCTCTTTGTTTTCTACTGGTTTGATGCTTAAAATCTTTTATTAGTCCGAAGAGATTTGAAAGAAAACAAAAAAAATGAAACTTTTCTGTTTATGAGTAATATTTGATCAACTTACTTTTTAAAGCTTTTTTCAATGGGGTTTCATCATCTTGTTCAACCAAAGCTTGTTCTCTTGAAAAAATCACAGTTAAATGTGTTTCAGATCCAAGAATCCAAATAGGACTTTTAGGATTTTTTAGGAACCAACCAACTTCCATTAAACGATAAATTTCAAGTGATGATAAAAATCCAATAGAAGCTTGTTGATGAATTCCATATAATTTTAAACCAGAAATATCTTTGTCACCATCAAAACAATGTGGTGTAGCAAAACCAGTTATTAAAAGATTAGTTAAACATTGACTACCATGTCCATGTGCAATATCAATTAAAGGTAATGATGTTTCATCATCAATTTCTTTTTTTAGTAAATCAATTGTTTTTGTCATTAAGCATGAATAAAGAAAAAGTAAAACACCATATGAATTTTTCCACATTTGAAGACGTGAAAAAACTATTTCTTTTAAATCAATATTGGATTGACATACATTAAATTTTATTTCTTCATGAAATTGATTTACTGTTAAATTATCTTTTTGTTTTTCATAATGAAAATTTGCCAAATAAACTTTATTATTTGATGGTGATAATAAATGTAAAATAGAAACAAGAGCATTTAAAAAATGTAGATCAATTTCATCGGATGACGCTTGACGCCAATCATATTGACATCGTTTACAAAATATTAACTCATTTAATAAATGTGCTTGAACTGTTGTTAGCACAGAACATGGACCACCTTCATATTGAATTAATGCAGAAGGTTCATCATTAGAAAATTGAAATCTCTGTGACCAACGTTCAAATATTGATTGCTCGATATTATCTCCCCAAACTAATTTTCTTAATTCACATGGTAATTTTATCATTTCTTGAGATGAACTATTTGAATTCGTTACCATTCTGAAAGGAAAAATGATTTAGTTTTTTCAGTGATTTGTTTGCTTTTCAACATTTTTCTTTCTTTTTTTTCTTTTCTTCAAGCTATTTTTCTTAAAGGTTAATTCAACTACCAATTATACTAATCAAATTTACTCATTGTAAATTTTTAAAAAATTTTATTTTATTTTTGTTGCTTCAAATTGATTTTGTTATTAAAATGAAACAAAAATTAAATCCAATACGATTTTTCTATAGATGTCACTCAATCGCTGATAAGTTGACAGAAAGAAAGTTTGATGTCATATCTTATATAAATCATGTTGTTTTGCTCATAAAAGAGGTTGAATCATTCAAGTTGAAAGAGAACTAAAGTGTTTCTCGCCATAACTCATGATAGAAACAATTGAAAAACAAACATGCCAACTTAGTAATCATAAGTTAGATATAAATATTAAAACGTTTCCTGGACGGTTGATATTTTCTAAAATAGACGTCGATCAATTTCCCAAAATCTTTTTCCCTACCATCAACTCATATATTCTTCATTTCAAATTCTTTTCTCCGGTCCTATTAGTAATAACGAATCTCTTCAATATAGACAATCATATGATTCCATGGCAGTTTTTTAATGTTTTCTTGAATTTCGGTCGAACTCACACGGTAAGAAACCGTAGTTTGTTCTAAAACAAACTTGAGATTTTCTTTTTAAAACTTTTTAGCCTTTTTAGTTTCTATATTTGAGATTTTAGCTTTTGAGATCTTTAGACAGATATCTGTCTTCTAGATAAACCTATAGTTAGTTTGTTATTGTGCACAGCTTAATATTAATTATCGGCGAACAACTGTATTAGAGACGAAGGAAATATCGAGTTTTAATAAATGACATACAGGAACCTTCTACGTAATGATTGAAACAATAGTCATTTACAACTCCTCATCTAGGTAATTGCTCCTTTTATTATTTTTTCAAAATAAAATTACTATTGTTCAGTTTCGAACAAATAAGGATAACAATTATATTGAATAAACTCTCATACAACATAATCTAAAATTAGCACATAAAATAAAATATCAGTTAAATATCCCCGAGCACAATTAAAAATAGTAAATATTTATTTTAACAAAAGATATCGATTAATATTGATTTATACACTATGTTCTTACATTGAACACGATTTCATTTGAACATATGAGATTCAAATTCGTTATACCATTTTATCAAATGAAAATATAGACAAATGCTCATTGTTCGAGAACAGATTGTGTGACGTTGTAATTAAACAAGAGAAAAAAATGAACTTATAAAAATTCTACTATTATTATTTGAATCGACAACAAAACAAAATAACTATTACTAAGAAGAATATGTTTTGAAAGAAATCCGATATTGTCTGTCAACATAAATAAGACCTTCTCTCTTTCTCTTTTAACACCATGATTTTTCCATAGAGAACTTCGTTAAGACTTTCCAAAAGGAAAGAACATCAAATAATTGTAATTGATAGGAGGGGGGGGGTTCTTTCCGTACGATTAACGATCAGAATGGTGAGGCATATTGATATGACATTATGAATTATCCTTCTCTCTTTTTTTATATCTTAGAATAATCGAATCAATCCTTTGATTAATTCTATTTTCATTTCATTAACCAATAAAGTTATGATATATGAGTGTTTCCGTGATTGAGTTTATTGTTTTCATAGTTGATATCGATATATTTCTCAATACATAATGAAAAATTCTAATGTAGACAACGTTTATGCGAAATTTAAGTGGAAATTTTTGGCCTTCATACGATCATTTTCAATCAAAATAGCACAAAACAAAATCATGAAGATGAAAATACATGACTTCAAAAACATAACCGAAATGACAACAAAACTGATAACAGCATCAACTTGTTATTAAAACCTATAAAATAATACTGATCGTCATAATATTCTAATTGAAATTCATAAAATTTATATCATTAACTACTATCTTCATTACATTTCAATGATATAATAACTATTAATAGAAACAATAGAAACGTATTGATATCAATTGAGAACCTAATAATTAGCAACTGCTCAAAAACTCGTCGTAAAAAGACCAAAAATTTCCATTTAAATTTCGAATAAACACTGCCCACATTAGAACTTTTCATTATGAATTAAATCTCAATATAGATACTCATCTTTCTCTTACATTCTCAACACATAGAAAAGTTCATCGAATGATTAAAGTCAATATAGATTTTGAAGCATTATTTAAATACTTATCAAAAATAAATATTATTCATTGGCTAAAAACTTCATTTTCTTTCGTTTTTATTTATTCTCTTTATTAATTCAATAGTCATATCAATTGAAAATAATGTATGCAATGAATAATCACTTGATAGAAATAATTTCATGTAGTTTTTCTTAAAGAAATAATCTTTAACATAATTAATAAATGTTTTATCTGCAAAAGTATAACTGTTATGATTGATTCTTTGAAAGAAAAAACATATTCAAATCATTTTAATCGACTACAAGAGAAAGTTTTCCATTTAATAGGAGAAATAGATTAAGTTAAATGTTTACTCTTAAAGATTATAATTCTAAAATAATGATAGTTACTTTATCAATTATGAAGTTGATCAGAAAAATAAAAGTTGAAATCATTTATTATTTTAACAAACCTGTAAATATTTGTTTACACATACGATAACCAAATTACGTTTTCATATAATATCAACAGAAAAAAACTGTTTACTGTGGAAGAATAAATAAATAGAAGCTGATCTAATTTCAAATAATTAACTGTCGAAAATATTTTATTTTTTTCATTGAGTTTATAATTGACAAGCAAAATATTAATCAATAACATATATCGACCGCTATGCCATCGATAGCTGTTTATTTTTTTACAATTTTCTCCTATCGCATAATTAGATAAACGATAATGTGTCACATGAGAAAAATATTTGAAGACGAGTCTGAACGAGAGAAGTAAAATAAAAATTCGATTCGGGATTAAGAAAAGTCTTCTTTCTCGGAAAAACAAACAAAGGAAGAAATAGAAGAATTTTTGTTGCGCTCAACTCAAGCCTTCTCTCGATTATTTCCAGAGAAGAAAAGAAGCAAAGAAAAAAAAAGAAAAGAAAATAGTTTTTAATATTTATTTAAATCAGCTTTAATGTTTAGTTTTTAGCTAAATAATTGTTGAGAATATTTTGGAAAACGGGTAACTTAATTTTCTATGATTGAATATCAAGTTCAATTACTCGATTGAAATTTCTATGATGTTGAAAGATCGCCTGCTTTTTTTTCTTCTGTTTATTGATACTATATAAGTGTTTTATGTGTTGTTTGTTTAGTTGGTGTCTAAATTTTCATAATAAATATTTGTTTGATTGAAAAATTCGATATTTAATTTGTTAGTAATATAAAATCACAGAAAAAATAATAAATTAATTATTTTGATAAATTTGTGTTCTCTAATGATGATTTTGAAATTTGATTTAAATTCTCATTATTTTTTATTGTTAATAATTGAATGGTTGAATTATTCATTTGAATATTTGTTCTATTGTATTTATTTGAATGTATCAATGTTGATGCAATAGAATTTCGATGTTCAACAGTTAAATATGGTAAAAACAAATTAAAATTATGTAAACCTAACATTTTTATTGCTGCTGAACGATAATGATTAACACCCAATATATATATGAAGAAATTAATACCTAATGCAGTTATATTCATTAATTCGCTTAAACGTTTTAATATACGGATTATAATTAATGAACGAATATCGCAACGTTTATGATAACTTGGAAATATTAATATTGATAATGTTTGAACAATTGCATGAGGAAAATATAAAATTAAAAACATAATTGATACTAATGTTAATGTACGAGTTAATTTTGATCTTAGATGTTCATTTTTTTGTCCAACTATTTGTCGACGACTATGAACAAGTTTTAGTATTGCTTTTAAAAAGAAATGAAAGAAAAATATTTATTGGTTTAAAACAATACAACTATTTCACCTGTATTACTTGCAATTAATATAATAGCTGGAATTAATGTATAACAAAATAAATGAAATATATATATTTTCCATTTAATATAAAACAAAAGTGTAAGATGACTAAGATATGGTGATGTTCGACATTGACAGAGAAGACGTTTTGAGATATGATTCGATTTTGTTTCATTTAAATTTAAATTTCCAATAAAAGCAGCACTATGTTGATAACCAGGTTTTCGACAAATCCATTCTTGATAAAGTAAATGTGGAATATTTATTAAAAGTGATAAAATTATCAATAAAAATATAATTTTTTTTGCACATTTTGAATTACAAATACGACGTGACAAATTTGGCCATCGCTTTGCCCATGGATCACAAACAAGAATTAAACGGTCAAATGTTAAACTAACGATTGTCCAACAAGAAAGTAATATTATAACATGATTTAAATATTCATATAATTTACAAACAATTGATGAACGAAAATTTAATAAATTTATTGAAAATAAATAATAAAATAAATCATGTAATGATTGAATACATTCAAATAATAACGATAAAAAATCAAATATTGCCAATGATCGAAGATATTCAACAAATGAATGTTGTGGTAAAGCAAAATGACACACAACCAAAAAACATATTATATTACCAATTATACCAATTATACCAAATGATAATGTACCTAGTGCATATTTTACTTTTTATTTGATAAAAATTTTAAATTCGGCTATCATAAATATCATTCACGAAAAAGATTTCTTTAATTTGTACTTTGATAAATAAACTATTTTGAAAAAATTTAATAATATACTACAATGCAATAATAAAACTGTCAACTCAGGATAAGAGTCATTTATATCATTTCTTCAGAATTATTACTTGGTAAGAAGATAGTCATGTCGATTATTATTGTTTCTCTAATAACAAAGTTTTTTCTTTTTTAAATAAATAGTATTTATTATTCTCAAATAAAATTCTCGATTTCTACTTAATTGATAGATTATTATTTTCTATATTTATCAATGTAAATTCGAGTTGAAATAATCAAAAGTATTCTATCTTATAAAAATAAAATAAAACTGAAGTCTTACCAATAACATTAGTCCACCACCACCATGAACCTGCATCATCATCCATAGCTTGATTTAATATTGTTGCCGAATAATTTTTTCTTTGGAGTTCTGCTGAACAGTTCATTTGTTTTTAATTTAAATTATTTTTTTCCCTTTTATTTTTATTCAAAAAGTAGCTTTTAATAATTCAATGAGAAAACATTATCTAGAAATGTTAATGTGTGAAGTATTAGATGGCTACAACTAAATAAGTGTCGATCTTTATTAAAAAAATAGAACCATGACGAATGTGGTATTTTCTTTCCTTTTTTTCGCTTTCTAATAGACACGAGAAAATCAACTATGAAAATAATAACAAGCAGTTTTTCATTCATCTATGACTTTCGATCTTTCACATCGATTTTCTCTCATGTATCAGATTGTCGTTCATATTGTTGCAATACGTTTCATAAAATTTAAACATTGCTACACTTTAATAAACAAGAAATTGAAAACGACGATAAAAGAGCTGTTTATATGTCAGTGATATATTCATAATTATTTGATGTCCTTATGGTTGATAAGACTCGATGATATGTTGTCTGTTGTCTCTCTCGCCCGCTCTGTCAACCTATCTATATCAATGTTTCAATTCTATACATATCTGATTTGATTATGTCCTTTAATTAATTAAAATCACTCGAAAACAATTATGTTCAAGAAGAGAAAGTTATTGTCAAATATCATAAAATAATGACTAGAAAGAATATCTAGTAGAAAACATTAGCGAAAATACAAGACATGTCGTTTAATGTGCAGCTGCATTCGTAAAATAAAAGAAATTTTACGCTAATGTCAATAGGCGAAATAAGGAAAACATGTCAGTTATACTAACACTGGTTCCGATATCTTTCTTTTTCTTTGCAAAAGGAAAAAAAGAAGAAGAACAATAGTCTTTCGATCATTCCATCATCCTCTTCATTTATTTTCTATTGTTAACGACATTTTTTTTGTTTATACTATATAGACGTCTAACGATGAAAAATGTACGAGAAGAACTAACAAAAATAAGACTAATAATCAAATCTTGTGTCTATGTGTAAATATGAAGAGAAAAACATAGTGACAACAACAAAGTTGACATCGACGCTATCGACTGCGTAATGAGACAAGAGAGGAAAAAAAATTCTTTCTACAATTTCAAATTGACACAGATCTAGTTACTTACATTCAGATGTTGTCTATTTTAGAAATTGATAAACAAAGACCAGCTGTATTCTAATAAAAAAAATGAGAAATAACCAAACGAGTAAATAATAAATGTTTCGTATTCGGAAAGGAATCAATCGGATGAGGAAGTTCATTACTTATCAATTTGTCTGATATGAAAACAGGATTTATATTTATATAGAAAATAAATCAGACAGCGACATTTTTTATGTTAAAGATTTTATACAGATAAAGCTAAAATCGAATTCCCATAAACCAAAATCATCAGGCATATGATCAACAAATTGAACGAGAACACCCTCAAGATATTTTTAAAGAGTTGAACAAGTAGATTGATTTCCATTTTTTTTTATTGTAGAATTAAATAGTTATAATAATAATGTTTATCAATAAAAGGAATGAATTTTAGTTTGATGAAAACAAGTAAAGTTTTGTTACAATTGGAGATGGGATCACAGTGACCGCCAGTCCCTACTGAGAAAAAATGTTATTATAGAAAAGCAAGTCTTCTTTACACGTACAAGTATATTAACTATGATTCAGTATAACGAAAATCTTTCTTTCATCTTTGTACTATCGATAGTACATTAATCGCGATTAAAAATGATATTCTCTTGAGCCACTAGAGAAATTAAAGTGATATAAACCTACGAAAGATCAATCAAGAAATCTACTAGGACTCATTGAGAACTACAACATCATCATAGTCAATATAGAAAAAAAGATTTATTGATATACGTATTTATCATTTGGCACAAGATTACTCAATCATATGAATCGATATCAAAGATTTGTTCTCAATAGAATATTGACTGCGTAATAACATCTAATAATCGATGAAGCAACTTCAACCTATACAAATAAATATATCGAGAAGATTATTCGAGTACTATAAAAAAATGATTATTTTCTGCATTTTGAAACATGAATATATTTACTAAATATTGCATTCCATGTAGAAATTTTACTTGAATTATTCTTTTTTAACTTAAATGCTTCTTATTTTTTTTATTTTGATCGTTTCGTAAGTACATGAGATAAAAACTTAACTAATAGCTATGATGTATATTTCGATAAATTATTTGTACTGATTCATCATCAACTATTTTGCAACCGGAATTCTTTGAGAATTCGAGTAAAAACAAAAAACAATTGTTCCTAGTTTTGATAAAAATGACAAAAACATTGTTTTTCTTTTGTTTTATTGAATGATGGATTTAATCACAGTCATTTGTTCGAAGAAACACTTTTCATAGACGACTAATTTACTAGTTTTTCTTTTTATTTGAAATTCAATCTTTATATGGTGTACTATCTTTTATTCTATTAATGATAAGATATTTGTTGGTTTTTGTTCTGTTTCATCAAAGACTTCGCTTGATATAGGCCTTATTTTTTCGAAGATCAAATTGTTGTTAATTATGAAAATTTTTCAGAATAGATAATTCGATATACTTTTCAATTGAATTTATTTGTATTTTATAATAGTTTCAACTTAAGATTATTGTAAACAATTCAATTCTCTAAAAAGATTATAGAATTTCATCATTAACAAAATTTGTTATCCTTTAAAATTCATGTATTTCTACGAAATAAATTAGTTTTGTTTAAAAACAAGTATTAAAAATCTTTCATACATAATAAAGTAACATAGGTTCTAGAGTCAACTTTACATTTAGAAACTGAGCGATCCAAACGAAAGTTTTATTGAATTTCTTCATTTTCAATCAGAACATAAGACTTATACTGAGCAAGTGTAAAACAATTCACTAGTAATACATTAGTTGAAATTCAAAACAGTTATATTGCAATGAAATGAAAAATAATTGAACAGTTTTTATTCAAGACTTTCGTTTCATAGATTATTTTGATGGAAATTAATCTATTTCGTGTCGATCTTGTATATTTAATGAAAAATTTGCAAAGAACAACAATTGAATCTTACATGAAATAACAAAAAAAAAGAACAAGAAGAAAGTTGATCCTATACAATGAGAATGCGTTTATTCTGTTTCTGTGTTTGGTGTAATGTAAGCCCGAATAATTGTTATATCATCAATTGGTCGATCATTATCTGTTGTTTGAATCATTGACATCTTTTGTAGAATATTAATACCTGAATGAATACGTCCAAATATTGTATGTAATTTATCTAATGTTTGAGCTGGAGCTAATGTAAAAAAGAATTGTGAACCATTTGTATTTGGACCAGCATTTGCCATTGATATTATACCTGCACCTATGAAAAAAAATTAGATTAACAATTGTTCCTTTCTTCTTTTTATCAATGAATGAAATAATTTAAGATAAAAAAATAAAATTCTTCAAATTATTTGAAGGTCTTAGAAAATACACGAGTTTTTCTTACCAGTATGTTTTAATAAAGGAGTAATTTCATCATTAAAATATTTTCCGTAAATCGATGCACCACCACGTCCTGTTCCAGTTGGATCTCCACCTTGTACAATGAAATCCTTAACAACTCTATGAAATTTTGTTGAATTATAATATCCTCGTCGAGTTAATTCAGCAAAGTTTCTACATGTATTAGGTGCGTGATCCCAATAGAGTTCAACAAGAATTTTACCCATTCTAAAAATGAAAATGAAATTTGATTTATTCTTATTAAAATAGAAAATAAAACCTACGATGTTTCTAATGTAACAAATGGTGGTCTCCAATTATCATCTGGAATCGATGAAATTGATCGATCATTCGTATTGACTAGATGCATTTTTCTAATTATTTCAATCTAGAAAATATTCAACTGATTTAATATTTCAATATTAATTGTCTCTTTGTGTTTGTAAATTTTTCTTAAATATTTATTCATGATACAGAAATAAAACTGTTCAAATAAAACAAAACTAATCTGACAATAGACTAGATCAATCAATATTATTGTTGTGGATATTGTTGTTGTTTTTGTTGTTGTTGATAAATAACTGAAGCTCGTTTTCGTTTTGCTTTACTTGAAGCTGATGGTTTTATTCCTTGTGCTGATGCTGTTGAAGAATTTGATCGATGACATTTCGGACAAAACCATGGAATCGATTCCGGAGGTTCTTCAGCAATACCAACGCATTCCCTAAACAAATTTATTTGATTAAAAAGAAATATATTATTAAAACGAAAAGTAAAATCGAACTAACCAATGATACCAATCATCACATAAATCACATGCAATCATTGCTTCTTGTCCATTATCAGGCCTATTACATGATGGACATATCCAAATTTTTTCTTGTGAATCATGATCGATCTAAATTATTCGAATATTTAAACAAACTGTCTCATTTATTTCTTAACTATGTATTTTGTTTAACGAACTATTGAATCATTTTATATTCGATAACTAGTATATCCGCAAATGGCTATTTTCTTCCTGCTAAAGTCGAAATTTAAAAGTAAAAAAAGAAAACACTAGTGTATATATATGTTTCTATAGAACAGAATTGTATCTTAAATATAGAAGTTTTTTAATCAATCAAAATTAGAATTAAAATAATTTTGATTCAAGATCTAATCATGTGATGGGTAAATGTTTTTATCTTCCAAAAAATAATTGTAATAAGAGATCACACATTTCCAATCAATGGAAAATAAAAAGTATTAAGCAGAAATTTTATCAATAAATTTGTTATGTTTAATTAGATTACTGTCTTTCAGTTAATTCAAACACTGATAGAATTAAAATAAAATTTGAAATCAACTTTTTGAAAGGAATACTCTTTAGACTTGAAATAATATTAATAAGAATCTTATTTTAAATTTCATCCTTAATTTCTATTCTAACAATATACGAATTGTTGTCTTCAGATGTTAGGTGATCAAGGAAAATTTCAATTAATATTTGGTCATATTTTAAATTAAAAGCAATGTTGAAAAATGAAATATTTCAATAAGAAAACAATGATTTAATTGATAAATTTTGATGGCCAGATAAATGAATATTAAATATATAATTAAATATGAACTCAGATGAAATCTTTTTCTTTTAGGTAATGATCAGTCTCTGATAAATCGAAATTACTATTTGATAAATATGAATTTTTTTTTAAAATTTTGATATGAAAGAAAAAATAATTAATGATTAATTAAAATAAAATTCAATGGGAATAAGATGAATTAAATTTAATTCAAATTGAATCTTTCTGAGAAATAAAAATAAAATTCTTACACGTCGTTCTTCAATAACAGCAACACCAACAATATTATTTGTTCGTTTGTTATTATTTGATTTTTTTTTATTTGCATTTGTTTTCTTTTTAATTGGTGTTGAAATAATTTGTTGAGGTAAATTTGTTTGAATATTATTTATTACATGTTTATTTGGTGATGTTCGTTCGCCAAGTGGAAGATCATCCATTGAAAGAGTATTATCTTCATGAAAAAAAATATTTGATGAAGAATTCGTTATAGTTGCATTTGTTGGTTGTGGAACACGTTTGACTTTTCCAGATTTTCGTTTTTGTGATGCTGATCGATTCATTGTTGAAATAATGGGCGGACGAGTCGAAATCGATGGAGATATTGAAGGATTATTTCCTGGTCCAACTTGTAATTTCAGAAGTATTGGACTTGTTTTTGATCTTAAAAGAGATATTTAAAAAATACATCAGTTGAAAATAATAAAAATACTCTGGTTGAGCGTTTGATTGATTATCGTGTAAATTTATTGAATTAAATTGATCATCAGATTTATTTGTTTCAAGAGTATTTGCTGAATTCGATGGTTTTCCTAATTTTATTTTTAAACGAATAGTGCCTCCAGATGATTGATTTGTCATTGACTAAATTTAGACAATTAATTTTTGTTTTCGTTAAAAAAAAATGTTAAATAATTCTTTACAGTATTGGATGTTGTCACAGTTGTTGTTGTTGTTGTTGTTGCTGCTGCTGTTGCTGTTGCTGCTGCTGCTGTTGTTGATAATGATGATGATGATGATGGAATAGGATCAATATCCATTGTCATAAATTGTTGTTCAACTAAATTATTTTCTTGTTCTTTTTTTATCTTTTTATCTTTTTGATCATGTTGATCATTATGATGCTTTTTCTTCTTATTCTTTTTCTTTTCTCGTCGATCTATTTCATTCTACACAAAAAGTAAAATAAAATAATTTTGAATAAAGAATAAAAATTAGTTATGCTACTGAAGTTGATCCTTGTTCTGAACGAATATTTATTTGATTGAAGTCATTTAGTTTTTTGTTTTCATAAATTGGATTATTTGAAGTTTCAATAGAATTTAAAAGGTTTTCATTTGAAACAATTAATGGTGGACTTATCATTGAAATTTTTTCATTTGTTCCAAATAATGGTAATGATGAGGTTCGAATTGTTAAATTGACTTTCTAAATTATTTAAGAGAAAATATGTATTTTTATTTTTATTTTAGTTTCTTGATGATGGGAAATGCTTCAACAGAAAGAAAGGAAGAAGAAATTTATTTAGAAATTTTGGTTGAAAGAGAAAATTTTCTTTTCTTGCACTTGAATTAAAAGAAATCCTACCAGATGATTTCTAATTATATTTTTTAGCTGAAAAATCTTCTATTAATATGATGAAAAATAGTTTTTGTCTATTTTTATTTTTATTAAAGAAAAAATTATTTTCAATAAAATATGTCAAACAAATTGTTTAAGAAATAAAGTAATAATAACCTCATGAGTATTGGGTAATTGTTTAGTACTTGATGACGGTCGTTGAATTTGCTTTTTAGTAGTTGGTGGACTTATCTAAATTTATGAAAGTAAAGTTATTAAAAGCCTTCTTCTCTTCTATTTGTTTTCAGTAATAAAATAAATATCGGGTAGCTTCTACCATTAAAAGATATTTCTCTCAATAACTTTGACATTTTCAAAACAATTCAATACATAGCTAAGAAAAGAGAAGATCTATTTAAAATTTGTGTACAAAAACTATCAATATGAAAAAAGAAGACAAGATAATCTTTTTCTCTTGTTGAATGAATAAAACTAAATGATTTTAATCTTGATAATTAATTTTTCTCTTGTCTCAAAATCTTAAAAATATCATTCAAGATGATACAGATTTAAAATTTGTGGAAATTTCTACGAAGGCTTGTAAAAATATTTTGGTGATTCTTTGAAAAGATTTCAAAAAAATTGTTTGATCATTTATAAAATGCTAAGCATTTGAAATTCTTTGAATTCATAATAGTATACTTGACATCGATTTTCAAAATACCGAAAAAGGAAATTTGTTAAAAATAAAAAATTAATTCAACCTGTGGATTTGAAGCATTATTTGTTATTTGAGGATTTGAAACATTTTTAATATTTAATTTTAATCTTGGAAGTTTCGCTGGTGATGATATTAAAGTTGATTTTTTTGTTAGATCAAGAGCTGTTTCTTCATTTTTATCAATATTCGTTAATGATTCTGATAACTAAAAAAATAATTAAATAAATAAAATATTTGAAATAAATTTAATTAAATAAATTCAAACATTAGTTGAAATATTTGTATGAGAATGTATTTGTTTTGCATTTGAATCATTTAATGGTGGACTGACAATAATTTTATTTCCAAGATTGACAGATGGAATATTTCCAATGAATAAAGAAGTATTTATACCATTTTTATTAATTATTCCATCTATTGCCATTGGATTTGTTACCGTTGAAGTTGTGGTTGTGGTTGTCGGTATCGTTGTTGCTACTGCAGCTGTTGTTGTTATTGTTGTTGTTAGTGTTAATGTTGATAATGAAGATGAAGATGATGGTATTGTAGGTGTTGTTGTTGTTGTTGTTAAAATTGATGATGACAACTTTTTATTTGTTATTGGACCTTTATCATTGACAACTAAAGGTTTTGGTATAGTTAAACGAAGTGGTGGTGGTGGGCCTTGTTGATCTTTTTCATTAGTTTCCTAATTTATTTTTATGAAGTTTGATTTAAAACAGAAAAGTAGAATAAAAAAATGAGGAAAAACCTTCTCAAGTTGCTCCTTTTTTGCTTTTTCAGCCGCAGCAGTAGCAGCAGCAGCTACTTCCATTTCAATAATGCGTCTTGGACGATAAAGAATTGAAGGTAATGATTGATTTGGTCGTTTACCAATTGGTACTGATGTTGGTTCGTCACCATTTTTACTTAAGAACGATAAAAGTGTCAATGGATGATGAGAATCAGATCTAAATTAAATTAAATTCCAATAAAATAATATCATTGAACAGAAATGATTTGAAGTAAATACAAAAATATTCAGAAAAAAAGAAATGATACCTTTTCTATAATAGAGACAACAATGAAATGTTGCCTTTTTCAAATTCTATAAGTTATAGCTAACACTTTTCCTATTAGTTTTTAGGTTAAATAGAAATAAAAAGCTTAAGATTTCAAACTGAATAATTCGAACAATATCTGTGTAGAAAAGCATTTTCGGATTGAAACAATTCTGTCTCTCTTATGGCGAAAATTTCTAAAATAAAACTTCATTTTGTTCTTAAACTATAGTTTTCGAAAGAGAAGTAAACTTTGTAGATAGATTCCTTCTCCATGATGCATTGTTGAAATAGATAAATTTTTAGCAGAAGAAATCTTCAATCATTTTTTTGTCACACATCCGATCTAAACGCTAGAACTATGGACATAAATTGCATTCTATTTCTTTCAAGCAAACATTTTCATATTGAATTAAAAAATTGAAAAAGGTTCTGTCATCTTCTGATGAAGTCTACTATTTATTCTTGCGGAATAATACATTCGACAAGATATTTCATCATTTTCAACAGTTTTTCAAATTTATTTTGTTTTTTTATGCCAATGTTTCTCTCGATCTTGTTTCATATTTGATGATAAATTCGAATACATCAGACTGGAATAGAATATCGATAAGAATACTAATCAAGGTTGAAACGCTTGCTGTATAGAAATATTGTTTAGCAGAAAGAAAAGCATTTTCCTTAAATATTCATACTTATCAAATTTTTTTTGTTGGTCTTGATAAATAGTTGCATCAATATTTGTATCAATATTAATCAATGATGACTGTTCAGGTGTTTCTTCTATTTACAAAAAGAAAAAAAGAAAAGTATTGAAATAAAAACTAAAATAAAGAAAACCTTACGATCAGGAAAAAGTGGCAACCAATCGTAAATATACTCTGTTGATGAATTTTGATCTCGTTGAATTATTTCTTGTGAATCTTTTGGTGGAATTCTTAAGTAAATTTGATTTCTTTTTCTGAATGGAAATTGAATAATATCTTTTGGAAATGTTGACGACTGAAATTTAAACATATAATCTTGTAATTGATCAAGATTTTCATGATTATTTTCCAATAAAATTGATAAAATATCAAAATAATTTTCTTGATAACGATTATTCAATTGAATAAGATTTGATGTTTGTTTAGATAATGATTGAAATTGTCTTTCACAAACATCAACTAAAATATCTAATGCTATTTCTGATGTTGTATCAAATCCAATTGAATCACATAATTGACTTAAACTTATTTTTAATAATTCTCTTGCATAGTTTAAAGACATGTTTATCTTAAAACAAAAAAAAACAAATTATTCTAAAAAATCAACTTTGTTTTTCTTTATTTATTTTGGTTTTATTTAAATAAAAGAAAAGTTAATTATGCGATCGGCAACAATAACGTCCCGAATTATTCTCAACATTTCGACAACAATTTGCTGTTGATAATAAACATGATGAAAGGTTATCACAAAAATAAATATTTTCACTTGGTAAATTTCTTGATGAACTGACTAATGAAGATAAACAATCAACAGTGATTCGAATGCAACCAGATAAATCAATATATGTTAAATACTCTGTTAAACCGTTTCTTATTAATAAACTAAAAATGAAATTTATTGTTATGAATTCAAAAAAGAAAAATAATTTGTTTACTTTAATCCATAATCAGTTATTTGATAACAACCAGATAAATTCAGAATTTTCAATTGAAATATTTTTGAATTATTTTCATATGAAATTGAACATTTTTCACATATTGAAAATCTTGTTAAACGATTTAATTGTGAAGAACTGTTTTCTATAGAGCAATGTTGTTTATCTTCAATTGTTATTAATTGAGAATCTTTTGATAAAATTAATGATGATATTATATTTATAAATAAATAATCATCCATTAATTCGCATCCTTCTAATATTAAATTTTCTAATGAATTTATCCATCGAAAACTATTAAGAAATAAAGTTTTTTTTATTTATCAAAATATTTTACTATTTGCAAGTATTTGTTATTTTTTTATCGAAAATAAGACGAACATAAACTTTTTTTTTTAGTCAACATCAACGACTAGGGGTGCAATAGTTCAGCTCTAGTTCTGAGCGTGGGAGCTGTTCGAAAGTTCATTTCGGTATGAGCTGATTGTTTTAAACAGCTCCTTTCAAAAGAGCTGATCTGATCGAACAGCTCTCTCTCNGGGTGCAATAGTTCAGCTCTAGTTCTGAGCGAGGGAACTGTTCGAAAGTTCAGTTCAGGAACGAGAGCTGTTCGATCAGATCAGCTCTTTTAGAACGAGCTGTTCAAATCAATCAGCTCCTACCGAAAGAACGTTCGAACAGCTTTTTCGCTCAGCTCAGCTGAACTTTTGAGCTGGAGCTGATGCACCCCTATCAACGACAAACAAAAGATGATTTCATGTAATCTAATGAATATTTTTTCAAAAGAAAATTTTATTCATTTCGAAAGTAACAGTTACACACTTAACTATTGTCATTGAATTCTTTCTAAAACGTGTATTTTTCCTATATTGACATATCATTTTAATGTTATAAAGAAATTTTTTAGCACAATTATCTTCTCTCACATTTTAAATAATTCATATTTTTTGCATAAAAACTTATTCGATGAAAAGTTACCTATTTCAATCGGAAAGATAAACTTAACTAAACTCTAGTTCTCTAACTGAAAGAATTCAATTCATTATATGAAATTGAAATGAATTTTAACAATTGTACTTTTTTTTGTCATATTTTAAATGACAATCTTCAGTTATTCGAGATAGTATTTTTTTATAAAAGAAAAGTTTTTCTCATTTTTTTGTTTTGATTGATCAATAATTCAGTTTTATTTATAGGAAATAAAAATACATACTGTATAAATGATTTCGGTGTTAATTTAGTCATTCCAATATTGAGATGTTTTAAGTTAGGACATAAATCAAATATTTTTCGTGCCTAAAATTAACAAATTATATTAATTAATTCATTAATATAAAATAGACAATTCTCAATAGGAATGTAATTTTTTTCTTTTTCTTTTTTCTTTTGTAATAAAAATTAACTCGATAAATGATTAATTTCGTATTTTCCATATCTTATAAAATGCATTAAATAAAATCTTACTATGTTATCATTGATGGTTAAACTTCCATATAAAATCAAATTTTCGATTGAATGACCATAATTAGGAAGTAAATAATTAACAAGGCCAGATATTATTCGGTTTTCATTCATTGTCTAAATAAATTAAATAAATATATTAATTATTGTTGTGTTTCAACATTTTTATTTTCGTCATCAATAAATGTTGAACATTTAACTATATTACAAATATTATCGGATTTCATTCTAAGAGAATTTAATTACAGAAAAAAACTAATTATAATTCAGGATAAGCTAGAAAAGTTTTTTTTTATAATAATTTGTCGTTTAACGTAATAATGAAATTAAACTATTAAATATATAAATGATAAAATAAGAATTGATAGCTTTTAAATCAATCTTGCAATTCAAACATACTATGTTGAAATAGCAGAAAAAATTTCACAATAAAAACTAATGAGATATTTGTAATCAATGCTGTCTAGATTTTCATATGAAAAACTTGTTTCTCTGCTTAAATAGTTTGAAGAAGAAGAACAATTAAAAAACACGATTAAAATTTTGATACATATATATATAATCAGATAAAATTAAGCTTTAAATTGACTTTAAGATTTCTATTTAATAATTACATATCATAGAAGTCGATTTAAGAAAATTTTTGAAGGTAAATAGTATATTTCAATATTTTTCAAGAAAAGCATCATTTAAAGTAGTTTTTCTAATTCTTATGATTGATGTTAACATAAATAGTTAAGAAAAAAACTTCAATCTTACCAATGAACGATTTTTATATTGATCGACAGGCATTTCTTCTAATGGAAGATTTGAATTCCATTGACCTAAATATTTTAATTAAATAGAATCGAAAGAAAAATCAGTAAAATAAATACAACCTCTTGTCCAATTAATAGGATTAATAGTTTTCCAAATAGTTTTATCTTTAATAATATATTTCCATTGTTTGCTAACACGTATACATGAATTAAACAAATCATATGGATTCAAATATAATTTAAATATACGCAATACTATTTCATCGGGAAGTTGTGATATTGGTGAACGTTGTTTTAAAACTAAAATGGAAGAAGAAATGAAATTTTTTCTAAAATAAAAACAAAATAAAAAAAACCTTTAGATGCACACTGATTCCATTGTTTATTAACTCGAAGACAAGATTGCTTTATTTGTCGATCAGGTAAATAATTCATAATAAATTGCAAAATATTATGTGGTAAAGAATCAATTGATAGAATTCGTTCATAGGATAGAACTTTAATTAAAATATATGAAAAATAATTAATTGAGAAAAAAAAAGAAGAACATTAGACATGAAAATATTTACCATGAATTTTCAATGGTCGTTCAATTCGATAGACAATATTGACTGTTGAATCTTCTCGTTTTTTTAAAGTCATTTTAATAACTTGTGTACGCATCATTTTCAATTCAATATCAGTAAAGTATTTCGAAAGTAATGGTTGAATACCCTAAATGAAAATTTTCTTTTTAAAAATTTTAAAAATACATAAAATAAATTTAAATTCGAACATTTTCTTCTTCATTCATATGTGGAACAAAATCATTGTAAAAAGTAATCATCGCTTTATGTAATCTAACACCATAGGACATTCTATCAGCATTGCCTCGTCGTATAAATGCATAGCCATCACGAAATAACGCCATTAATGGTGTAAAACGATCAACTTTATGACAATTACAAATAAGTTCTGTATCGTCCATTGGCGAATTTTGCTTTAATTTTTTTCTTAATTTTTTCATAACTAAATGATTTTCAATTTCTTCATGTGCCATAAATTCCGTAAATATACACTGTAAACCTATTAATAATTCTTCAAAATCATTTAAACTGGTGAAATCTGTATGTCCAAACTAATTGATAAATAATAATAAAAAAATAAATAAAAGGAAAGCTTTTTTTCCATTTACTTTTGAAGTACAACAGTTCATTAGTTTTTTAATTCGACTATGAGGAAATGTAAATACATTTACTTCATCAAATACAATCGTCACCATTTTATTTTCTTGTATTGTCAATTTTCACTGTGTCAAATAAAAGTCTACCAATGTGATGAAGCTGGTCGAACAGAATCATTTTTTTCCTAAAGAAAACAGTGATTCTATTGGACAATTCAATGAGCAATAGATATCGAAGCATTCATAAATCACCAGTGAAGAGGGTTACAAGAAAAAAATATTTTTATATATGGCTGTCTTGGAGATACCGATATATATCTGAGAAAAAAGAATATCAAAATAGTTGTTCATAAAGAATTATGCTTGATGAACATTGTGTAAATGGAAACCATTCATTGATAATCAATCAATCTAACAAACAAATAAGGAAAGAAATGTACACATGAGCCAATTAGCTGAAAGTATTTTCATCGTCAAATGTCTTTTTTTTATTTATTTTAAGGACTGGTGGTATGATTAAAAAATCGTGGGTGATTTAGCATCTTTTCATAGTCTTCGAGAAAAATCGATCTTTTCTCTTCTTCTAGTATAAGAAGAGACTAGTTCACTCTTAGTTACGACATATTTTCATGGAAGTTTCACTGTATTTGATTTCGCCATTCTTGAGATCGAGACGTTTCTATTAAATACGATGATCAATGACAAGAAAAAGGCTTTTTTGCGAAAAAATAAATTTCATGATATATTTGAAGATATTGGCACCGATATTAATTTAGATCTTCTTCAGATCAATTGAAAAAATGCCTATGAAATGAGCTATTTTGGTTTTGAATGTAGTTCGTCGAAGCTATTGAAAAGCGATCTTGTCAGAGAAAAGATAGAATTCAACGATATGTTTATTTTCTGATTAAACATGATTTGTATTCATTTTAATAAAATCTAATCGATTATACTACTAATAAGTAGTCGTTCTCAACATTTCTATCGATGTTTTTGTGTACTCAAAAAAAAAGGGAGTACACTATAGAGTCGGCCAGTGTCCGGCCGTTTACACGATAAATTTTGAAAGGAGAGTGCTATCTTGATGAAATTTTCTACACAGTATCGTCTCAACAATGTCTCAGTCAAGTTCAAAGATGAGCATGATCCGTTGAGCCATTTCTGAGCTATAGCAAAAATAGTGATTTTTCCATGTGATTATTGATCTATGTCAGTTTTCGTAAAAGAACTTTTCCTCTCATAATCACACAAAACGACGCACTGTTATATATTATTTGATAGAGAATTTCACGAGCTACAAAATGGTACATGAAACATTAGAAAACAAGAAGTCTAAGTCACCTATTAGAAAGACACTTACCCATGTCCAAGAAAACGGTGCGTGAACGACTGTAGACGACGTAGAAACGTTGAAAAACGGCGCTGTTTTCCGTCAGCTCGGAAAACGACGAAAAGTGTTAAAAACGATGCCCGTTTTCTAGCGAAAAAAACGATCAGTAAAACGAGCTGACGGATTACGGCGAAATAAGATGAAAATGAATGCCTTATTATACCGTTGTATAGTCGTTTTAGGCCTTTTAAGATACTCGTTCCGACGGCCGGAATGATTGCCCTGGGTAAACGTAAATTGGTTCTGTTTTTGTCCACGTTCTAATCGATCGAAAATTAAAACACCATCTTTCAATCAAAATGATGATGCTTCGAAGTTTTCTGGGGCGGAGAACTCGAATCTAAGCTCTAATTGCCTCGAAATCCTATTGGTTGAGCACTAACCAATAGAAATCAAGTTTTAGGAAAAGCTACTTTCTTATTCTTAGGGTAATTCAAGGCGAAAAGTTCAAATCTAAGTCATATTTGCCCCAAAATCCTATTGGATGAACAGTAAACGATGGATATCAAGTTTTAATAGGAAGGACTTGCTAGAATAATTTTGATATCTATACATGCTATGATGACTCGCCGGTCTAGAGAAGTTCAGAATCGATGAGCTGTTCAAAACTGTCACTCTCATAAACTGAACTATTTGAACAGTTCTTTTCAACGAACTTAAGCTTTCGAAATAGTTCGACTCCATGATTTGATCATTATCAAAAGCTATACATATCATCATCAGGATTGGCTAGACACATCCTAGACTCGATATCTATGACTCATTTTATGTGCTATGCGGGACTCACAAGTCATCAAGGCATATTCTGTGAAATATACATAGGCTCACAAGTCCTTTAATATATGTGTACCAATAGTTGCTGAAGTTCTATTATATCAAAGCACCAAGAGGTCCTTAATGACTATCCTATGGGTATTCCTATATAGTACCCAGGTCGAACATACACGGTCGTATACGACGGTAAATCGCCGTATTTGAGCGTATTACATGGCTCCGTATTACGATCGTAAATCTCCGTGCCGTATACGGCGAAATACGGCGCTTTACGGTCGTTTTTAATAGGATTTCACCGTATTAAGACACGGAGATTTACGATCGTAATACGGAGCCATGTAATACGGCCAAATACGGCGATTTACCGTCGTAAACGGCAGAAAACGGCCGTATACGGCCCGTATTTCACCTTATACGGACGTCGTAAAGCTCGTCCTGGGTAGGCATTGGGGGCCTATGACTCCACCCATATTATAGCATCTAGAATAACTTCAAGTTAGGTTCATTTAAAAAGAAATGTTTGAAAAAGCTCTGCTCGTTTATAAGAGCTGTTCGAACAGTTCTCTAGTTCAATTCAATGAAGTTCGCCAACGGAAGCCAGTTGACCCATATTCCTTACTACTCTCCAAGATGATTTTGTAGACAGTTTGGCCGAAACCAGTCCGTGGTCCATAATTTTTTCTTTTTTGCCGTACACATACCCAGATCGAATATTACGACGACTGGATACGGCCCTTTGCGACGACTAGATACGGCCGTATACGCAGAATTTACGACCGTATACTGGCCGTATTTTAACGTTTTAGTATGCACCGTATTACGACCGTATATCGCCGTGTCGTATACGACAGAACACAGCAACCGTTTAGAAGCCGTATCCAATCGTATACGGCTGTATCATAAACAGGAAACGACCAAGCACTGTAACGTATACGACCGTAACAACATCGTAACCGAACATTTACGGCCGTAATTCTGAACAAAAAGAAAAATACATTCATAAACCCCTCCGATCGATAGTGAGCACACTACAAACATCAATTCTACTACATCTCCATAGAAATCCCATAAACAAATGCAAGGAGCCAAAAAACCCACTGCAAATCACACCGAAAATCACAGAAATCATACTTCCAACAGATCTTTTCGGAACAGTATATATACCCTAAATCTACCGAGAGCATCTAAAGCTAACTCCCTATGATTTTCCGTGCATCAAATAGCAAAAATCATGAAAAATCTTAGAACAATACAAAAAAGCACCGGAACAATTCGGATAAAATCACGTTTCGGAGGAAGCATCGTAGAGAATCGGCGATAGCAGCATTAAGAGATCCATATTGTGGGATTTCTACTTCATCCTGCACCAGGGATCATGAAAAATACGAAAAGCATCAAAGAAATCATGTTAAAATCAATGTTTTCCGTATATAATTCATGGAAAAGCGGTAATGATATTTGGTATCAATAAGTGCCTATGGTGTTATTTACGATTAATCGTATGGTGTCGAGAAGAATAAATCTTTAAATGATGAATATTTATGCAAGATATACAGGAAAATTGGTTAAGAGGAAATCGTCAAAAAATCATTGCTTATGACTTTCAGTGAAGATCATGATATACGATAATGTAAGTAATAGCACGCATGGAAATCGGTTAAAAAAATTAGAAGAATCACTCAAATCTCCTTAATGTTTGTTACGAAATTGGATCTTTCCGATGGTAGAAGTAATTTTAAAGCTTGTTTTTTTTTCTTAATGGAGTGGATTTATTCAGCAGGATTTAACAGGAATTCGATATAGGAATATGTTCAGTATAGATGTGCTTCAAAGTTGAACTCGATTGTAAGGGAAAACGATGCTTTTGTTCGATTTATTCCGAAAGGTCAAGTGGGATTTCCGGATCTTTGTGACATAAGGCTTCTAGAGATCATACGAAACCTATGTATTCTGCTGTTTTGAGTGAATATCTATAGGATTTCTTGAATGTTGCACATTCAGCCGACGGCAGTTTTCTGATTTGCAGCTGAAATCGTAAAAAATTGATTTGATGCTAAAATGGTTTTTGATAGAAACCGGCTTTGACGAACTTTAGATCTGGAGTGGCACTGTAATACCTTGGTATGGGTGAATGTGAAGAATTGGCGAGGTTGATAAATCATCTCGTGGACTTCGAATAATAGTTAGTTTAAAATAGCGGCACGCCATGTCTTCTGTCCTTACCCATAACGTTTAAGATGTAGAAATCCTGCTTTTGGATTTTTTCAGTGAAAGTGAGCCGTAAATGATAGGCTTTGTCGCAGATGCTCTGTTAAGGATGGAAACAGATGATTTGTGCTGCTTCTTTTCGATAGATAAGAGAAGTCTGCGAAGAATCCTGGAGATGTATCAGAAATCACAACCAGAAATCATGACCAGAAATCAACCAAATAATGCAGCAGCTGTCAGATTATTATTTAATATCGATTTTTGACTTGTGAATAAATATGAGTATTATTGTGTTGTTAGACAGCAACCTTAATCGTTGTTCATTAGCCAGAGTTTGCAGTACGCTTGCGCTGCATCATTGCCGAAGATTTGTCAGTTCAGGCAGTATTTCTTGGCGTTTTGATGATTTTTCAAATTAACTATTTGAATTTCAAGCAGGGGATTTGCCTGAAATAACAGACTTGTGTAGGTTATGAGAGCCTTCATGATAGATCGATTGATAGACGTCTTTGCAATATAAGCTAGAATGAATCATGCCCGCAGGTAAGCTCTATAGTGTGTGATTTATGGGTTGATTTATGAGAATGTTCCTGGATAGTTCAGAAATTCACCGCTGGATTTCGAATTTTTCTCCGCAATAGAGAACTGTGGATGCGTTACGGTTTATTTTGATGCTCTATCTGTATACTCCCCATGTTTAGATTCATAAAAAAATCTTAGTTAGATGATTTTGCGGGCTTAAGAAGCGATGAAAATTATAGCATTTCTATGTGATGGATAATAAAATTGATAATAAAAACTAGATAAACTTCTGATGACAGATTTAGTCAGATTCTTCGATTTTTTAAGGTTTGAATCCTTCTAATAGGATTTTTCTTTCATTAAAATCTATTCAATTTTCTCTTCTTGGAAATGATTATGTTGATTTCTAATTTGAAACTGGATTTCTCTTGATTGTGTGTTCAAAATTCATACCAACTCGACTATTTTTTGAAAAACGATACTTCTTGATGGAATATAACTACCACGAACAAAATTAATGCAAATCGTATTTTTGATCTAAAACAAAGAGTTAATGGCCAGAAGAAGTTTTCTTGGATATATATGAATATTACAAGAATAGACATTAATAATACAAATAAAAATCTAATATGAAGATATAAACTCTTTATATACTTTTTGAGTCTTTTTAATACATGTTTGAATAACACTTAATGATAAACCATTTAAAACTTCATCGGCAGCATTTTCTAGTTCACATTGTGATTTAGGACGTTTTTGTGTACTCAAAAAGTGAGTACACTCTAGAATCGATCAGTGTGTCCGTCCGGCCGTAGGCACGATAACTTTCGAAAGGAGAGTCAGACCGTGATGAAATTTTCCACATAGTTCAATCTCATGAATATCTCGGTCGAGTTCGAAGATGAGAAGAATCCCTCAAGAAATGGTTGAGTTATCGAAAAAATTGTCATTTTTGACCAGACCATCCCTGAGGAGGAGTACAGGGATTTTGTTTTCAAAAAACAAATTTTTCTCAGAATTATTCACAACATATATGAATCGGCTCAGTTTCTAACGCTCATTCCGAATCTGGTATTAGTTTTGAACTAAATCGTAGCTTTCTAACGAAACGTCGCCTGAAAAACGTCTCAAAATGCACAAAAACTGCATCCAGAAATCAAATTGGCTAGTTTCTCATGATAACTTTGGTGTTCAGACATTCTAGAATGACTCATATGTCCCATGCACTTTTTGCAGTACACATAACTCTCGGATGAAATCCGAAGTTTCCACATTTTTTTTAACTAAATTCAAAATAATAACAAGCCAAATCATTTGTACTTTTCTATGTCATTAAGTAAAATATATAATAAATTTCTGGAAAATATTCTTTATTGAAACAAAAGTTTTAACAGAAGTAATACTATTTACAGTAAAGGAAAATAATGATGAAAACTTTCTGGACGAGCAAATGACCCTACTATATGAATATTTTGCAAGTTAGCACAGTTAAGACGTGCTGCATCATTGGTGAAATTATTTGTTACGATTGCAAGTGTTTCATATTCAATAGTGAGTTCGATTAAACGAGGCAAACGAGTGTTTTCTTCGAAGAGAAATTGTTCAGCATAATTTACATGTGCTGGACTAAGAATGAGTTTGACAAGATGAGAAAATACAATCAATGTAGATGAATGTTGCTTATTTTTTTGTGCTTGAAGATTGCATACATATAACTTTTCAAGATAAGGAAAAGCTTGAGACACAAGTGCGAATAATTCATGTTCGAATGAACTCGTATCATTCATAAATACGCATCGAACTTTATTAAACATGCCACCTGTAAAAAAGTTATTTAAATTAATAAAAATTTCGAATCGATATGGAAGAGAATAGACATGACATCGAGCAACATTTGTCGTTGAATTAAAATCAGCATACGAACCAACGTGATTATATCCTCTATCGAGAAAACTTGATTGAATATTGTCGTTTGATGGCAAATCAATTTTAATATATTTGTTAACAGTTTGACTGACTATGCTAAAAGTAAATTTGTTTAACCGTGGCATGTGAATGAGAATTTCATCCAGAGATGTCATAATATCCTAACACTGGGTATCGTCGACATACCAGTCACGATATCCATTCAAGGGGATATCTAAAATGCATACTAAAATGAATACCCAT